TCCAGTGACATGCATAAATACAACTGCGCGAGTCCACACACCAGCCACTGCTTGGCTAACGGTGACGTCATGATCAGCACTTTGGGAGATCCCGCAGGCAACGGAAAGGGCGAGTTCATGCTCTACGACGGGAAAACGTTCAAGACAAAGGGAACTTGGACGATGGGACATAAATTGTCCAAATTCGGTTACGATTTTTGGTACCAACCCAAGTTTGACGTGATGATCGCCTCTGAATGGGCAGCTCCGAAGATCTTCAAGACCGGTTTCTTACCATCTCACGTGATTGACCCTGAAGCTTATGGAACTTCACTTAACATTTATTCTTGGACAGAGAGGAAGCTAATTCAAACCATCGATCTTGGTTTGGAAGGATGCGCTCCGCTGGAAGTCAGATTCTTGCATGATCCGAACATTTGCGAAGGATACGTTGGAACCGCCGTTAACGCAAACGTCTACAGGTATAAACTAGAGCTTATAAATAAGCTAAAAATGGTCTTTTGATTTATTTATAATAATTATCTAACAAATAGGCTTTAAATTATATCAATTTAACACATTCATTTCAAGGTTCTACAAGAAAGACGATGGTACTTTCACAGTCGATAAAGTTATCGACGTTGAACAACTGAAAGTTGCAGGAGGAGATTGGCCAATGGAATACATGCAAGGTATATATTAAAAAAATAATACTTAGACTTTTCTAAATGTATTATTGAAACTTAACTAAATTGTTTTAAGGCTTCATCAGTGATATCCTCTTGTCATTGGACGACAAGTACCTGTACTTGAACAATTGGCTTCAAGGAGACATCCGCCAATACGACATTACAGACCGCGCTAATCCGAGATTAACCGGTAAATACTTGAAACCCGTCCACATTATAACATGAATAGATGAAACTGACTGTTAAATTTCGTTTAGGTCAAGTGTATCTGGGTGGTCTATTGCAATCCGATTCGCCAATCAAAGTTATTGATAACGATAGCTACGTGCCACCTGAGCCTGTCATCATCAAAGGAAAACGTTTGCATGGTGGACCGCAGATGCTGCAGCTTTCCCTCAATGGAAAACGTCTGTACGTGAGCAACAGCTTGTTTTCCCCTTGGGATAAACAATTTTACCCGGATGGCGTGCGCGAAGGAGGCTGGATCGTAAAGGTCGACATTGATCATGAAAACGGCGGAATGACGCTTGACAGGAATTTCATTGTGGACTTTGGAAAGACCAAGCATGGACCAATTCTTGCCCACGAAATGAGATACCCAGGAGGTGATTGCACTTCTGACATCTGGCTAGCCAAATAATTACCTCTAAATTGTTTTTCCTTGAAACAAATTTTATGTGCTCACATCACATTTTGTTTCTTTTGGATTTTCAAGTTACCAAACCAATCGCAAAGGATATTCTCTAGGATTCACTCTATATATTATACCAATTATTTTATAATTACATTATATTATATATATTTATGTCTGCTTAAAGAAAAATAAACATTATATCTTAACGAAATAAACTATCATTCATTTACCTTAGTATAATCAAAAATTAACAGTATAAAGTTGCGTACAAAGTGAGACATAAAACAAATATACCAACAAGCTTTACTTAGCTCCAAAGTTATGATAAGGCCCGTTTTAATATATTTGGCTCCTATGGGCTATACAAATAATGCGCCCCTCTTCATAAAAATATTCATTGGAGATGGGGGCGCTCGTGGGCAGCAAGAATAATGCGCCCATCTTCATCATAAAAAGGCTGGCGCCCCGGGGCTATAACCAATTTAGCCTGTGGTTAGGGTAGCCCTGGCCAGCCCTGGCTACGGTAATAAGTTGGTACCTATGCTATATATTTACTGTCTCATGTCATATTTTAAACGCGTACAAACAATTAACATTAAAATCATAGTTATTAATAACTAATTTATATGAATAAACTAATTAAAATGACATATGAATTAAAATTTTATAAATTTCTAAAATAAAAAGTTCATTAGTTCATGTGGTTCAAAAGACTTTATTACTTTAAATATCTATTTAGATTTAGGAAAAATTTATTCATATATTTATTTATGAGTATATTATAATAATTTCAATGTTTAAAGCAACGTTCATTATATAATAAAGTAATGAATACTATTAATATTTTTTTTATCAGTATGTATATTAGATAACATATATAG